GACTTTAAGCTGAACACCAAGGTCGTCAGCGGTGACAAATCTGGTGATATGGTTACCCTGGATGTTGACGCTGCCAAGGGTGGCAAGCCTGAAACTGTAGGTCGAACCCGTTTCCTTTATCAGCTCTGTTTCCGCCCTCTTCTTCGTTCCTTCTTTCCTTGGCCTTTTTGGTATAGTGTTCTATAATAGTACCACTGCTAATCCTGCTTGCAGCTCAGTGCAGATGTTGTTTTAGTTGCCATTGGCCGCCGTCCGTACACGCAGGGTTTGGGCCTGGAGAACATTGGCATGGAGCTTGATGAACGAGGTCGCGTAATTATCGACTCTGAATACCGAACGAAGATCCCGCACATCCGCTGTGTTGGCGACGTTACTTTTGGTCCAATGCTCGCTCATAAGGCAGAGGAAGAAGCTGTAGCTGTCGTCGAGTATATCAAGAAGGGATACGGACATGTCAACTATGGTTGCATCCCCTCTGTCATGTACACCTATCCTGAAGTTGCTTGGGTAGGCCAGAGCGAGCAAGAGCTGAAAAACCAGAAGATTCCTTACCGTGTCGGGACTTTCCCATTCAGCGCCAATTCTCGTGCCAAGACCAATTTAGACACCGATGGTCTCGTCAAAATGCTTGCAGATCCAGAGACGGACAGACTTCTAGGAGTTCACATCATCGGACCGAACGCCGGAGAGATGATTGCCGAGGGCACATTGGCCCTAGAGTATGGTGCATCAACGGAGGATATTGCACGAACCTGCCATGCACACCCAACATTAGCGGAAGCTTTCAAGGAGGCCGCTATGGCCACTAGCTCAAAAGCCATTCACTTCTAAAGCGACAAACGTTTCTGGAAATAGGAGTCGGCCGAGGCTCAGGAGTCATCAGCTCTCGATAGACTATGTCAAATATTGAGCGAGCGGGTTGGTGGTGGAAGCCTATGCGGAAATGATTCCGATCAGGAGCGACCGACGGTGGGGGGTTAAGCATAGTTTTTCCTACATCTGTCTTCCTTCTAGCATTTGGCTGTGGTACTTATTGTAGTTCCGGGTATTCTCATGGTAGATGGTGTAAAATAGTAATGAACCCTCTGTTAAAGGAGTTATAGCCTCTGCCATAGCAAATGGCCATATTTTAATTTGACAGTATTGAAATCAGCTGCTACAGTGACTGCACATGCACCCTTAACTTCGCACCCTTTCAATTCTACATATCTAAATGAAAAGCAGGTAAATGCGACGGTCAAACCAGCAATGTGATTCAAACGCTGGTGCGGTTTTGTGAATGGATCCAAATACCGAGGTGCTTGGGCTGCCTCTGTTGCTTTTCTATTGATTACTACTTTACTAAGTACCTAGGTACACACACTGATGCTCTACACAGCATCAGGTTGAAGAGTACAGGGGCATAGTTCAGGACATATGCCAGTATGTCGCTCACAATATTTCGCAGAAGATGCCTCAGTGCTGGTAGAACCCAGAGGCCGAAATCATTCCTAGTTCTAGTCAGAGTCCTTACGGCGTCTGAACTGCCCCTCTGTGCAGCACCTCTGTCCCCAATGAACGAGGATATGGTGTGTATGTAATTTTAGGTCTTTAAAGGGCCTTTTAAACTCTCAACGTCTACTCCACAATGGGTTGCACCGGCCAGGTGGCAATGTCGTCTGGTGGTAAGATCAAGCCTGTACGGATTCTCCGTTCTTCGTACCAGATGTACTCCGCAGACACACGTGCACCTCTTGAAGTTCAGTGCCGCTTGCGCACCGAACCCCTGCCATGGCCTCCCTGATTGACGACCCAATCTGTAAAACATGCGCAGCTACTCTCAAGTGGGCTGCTTTCACATTGCATCTAGCCGAGCCGAAGGGGCCGGTGGCCTTGCCAAACGAATTTTGTTAGCGGTCTGGTACCTTTCAAGCATTCTCCGCCTTCTCCCTTGGACGTGGGACAGCCTATTCCACCTCACTCATGCCACGGAAAAGACAAGAAACGTGGTGAATACAACATCCACAGACGGCCAACAAAATTGTATGAAGCACAAAAAACCCCGACGATATTAATTCAGCCTTTCAATTGCTGGATTTTTGAGGCGGATACCGGCAAATCGCTCTCAGGATCCCGAGTCTATCGTCTCATGCCTATCAAAACTTGGGAGGTTGGCGCGTGCGACTGATGGTTCTTCGTCGTAGATTAGCACTGCCCCGACAAGACACGATTGACGGCACATCTTGCACTCAACCTGTTTACTACAGAGTAGACAGCCCCCAATCGATATTCCTGGTTCAGACATCCACGAATCAAACCTGATGAACTCGAACTCAACGCTTGCCGGGGTTCGGGCATACCCTTACATGTCTAGGAATGAGATTGAAAGTCGCATAGCAGGCGGTCAAAAAATCGTCATCTTCAATCAATATGTCCTCAAAGTCGACCCATGGCTGCCTTACCATCCGGGTGGTGAGAAAGCTTTACTGCATATGGTAGGCAAAGATGCTACAGATGAAATCCAAGCGTAGGTGATTTCACACTCTTGACAGTTTTCTCAACGTTTCAAAGGTGAACCTTTCCTGCTAACTGGGTTTGCCTCTTCCTTACACGCCAGTCTTCATTCCAAGGCCGCCCAAGAACAAATGATGCGGTATCGAATCGGCAAGATTGATGGTTTTTGGACCAATTTCCGACCACCGATTCAGGGGGGTGCGTTTCGCCCATCTTTGGACGCCAACAATGTTGATTGTGAAGAGCTGCATAATAGAAAAATGCTAGCCTCAAGCACTCCCATCTCTAGATCGCCATCCCCCGTATTTGATGTTGATCATGACGGTTTGAGAAGACGAGGCCACGACGAAGATCACCCCACAAGAACAGCGTCAATATCCTCGCAGTCAAGTGTGGAACCTGATACTACTGGAATGTCGTATCTAGACGCTCTTACAAGAGAGCAGGTTAGTCTAGACATCGACAAGTACCCGGGTGTTGATCTTGTCACCCAGCACGAAATAGCAGCGAAATACAAAAGGCTGCATCAGGCGATTATGGATGAAGGCCTTTACGAATGCAGTCGGACCGCATATGTCTTTGAATGCTGCCGATATGTTGGATTATTCGCCGCTATGTTCATATGTCTCATTTATAGGCAATATGTGCTGGGTGCGGTGTTCTTAGGCCTCGCTTGGCATCAACTTGTCTTCCTGGCTCACGACGCGGGGCATATGGGGATCACACACGACTACCAAATCGACACTGCTATTGGGATATTCGTCGCTGATTTTATCGGCGGCCTGTCCCTGGGCTGGTGGAAGAGGAACCACAATGTTCATCACATCGTTACGAATGCCCCAGAGCATGACCCCGACATTGAACACATACCCCTCTTCGCCGTGACACATCGTTTACTGGGAAGCTTGCGATCGACGTACTACGATCGGGTTATGGAGTACGATGCCTTTGCCAAATTTATGTTGAGGATTCAAGCCTGGACATACTATCCTCTACTTGCGTTGGGACGATTCAATCTCTACCGGTTGTCGTGGGACTATCTAATTGCTCGTAGGGGCCCAAGGCGTGGCCCTGGGGCATGGCACTGGTACTTGGAGATTGCGGGGCAATTTTTTTTCTGGGCTTGGTTTGGTTATGGCATTTTGTACAAGATGCTCCCTGATGGCTGGACGCGGTTTATGTTTGTCATGGTTAGCCACGTTACTTCTTCGCCGCTCCATGTGCAAATTGTGCTCTCCCATTTTGCCATGAGCACTTCAGACTTGGGACCACAGGAGTCCTTCGCACAGCGCATGCTTCGTACCACAATGGATGTAGATTGCCCCCCCTGGCTCGACTTCATACACGGAGGGTTACAGTTTCAGGCAATCCACCATCTTTTCCCCCGGGTGCCTCGACATAACCTTCGCAAGGCACAAAGGCTGGTGGTAGAGTTTTGCCGAGACGTTGGCATTCCCTATGCCCTGTATGGGTTTTCCGATGGAAACAAGGCTGTCATTGGTCGACTTTCAGAGGTTTCCCGACAGGCTGCTATTCTGGCAAAATGCCAACAGACTGTAGCGAGGAATGGCGGTGTTTTTGGACACCATGACTGATGCAGGAGAAATTCGAAGACTTTTGGAAGATATTTTTCATGGACCAGCTGTGCTTTTACACATATATTCTTTCCTATGTGCCTCCGTTGGAGGAAAAAGCCAAGCCGAGGAGGCAAAGTTCCTTTTCGATATGTGCGAGTCTCTGATTGGAATACTGTCAATTACTGCTATTGAGGCGATGAAGCAGGCATTATTTTTAAAACTTAATGATGAAGAAGAAAACGGTTAGGCATATAATATATCTATATCCAAGTTGAAATCGCAGTGTTCGAGTTTGTGTCTTGTATCAAGTTTCTAGGCGTGGGATGTTCTCGTCCACCTTGGGGGAAAAATGGTAATACTCCGCGTTTGGAACTTTGCCCATACAAACACACACCTGGCACTTGATATTATATCATCTATCTTGCGGCCTTTTGCCGCATTTGCCCGGATGCATGCTTAACCTTCAACGCACAAGACACGGATTAACTACCTACTTAAGTAGGTATCTGGTGGTGGCCAGCTGACATGACGCCACACCCAGGCAACATCTCCACAGTGCCACAGTGCCACAATGCCATCCGGCCTTCATATTCTCGAGCATCCTTCACACCTGTTTCAATGTCGTCAATTGTTGCTCTGTAAACTGGTCGTCAGAGACCACCAACCTAAGGACATATCATCAATACACACCTCCGTCTGCACTCATCCAAGAGCGCCACATCGAAACCACCCCTGGTCAAGCTGTCTTGTCCCTTGTTACTTACTGTCTCGTCCTCTTGGGGTCGTGGCACTCCGAAGGCAGCTCTCGGGGTAGCGGCCATTTCGCCTGTCAACCGACATAACACTGCATAATCTTTGTGCACCTATGGCCAGGCGGATAATTTCCTTCGCAAACCACCTGACGCATTTGAAAAGCATGATCTAGTGACCATGGATACCAACATTCAACGCGCCCTGAACGACAAACTATACGACAAGCGCAAGGTCGGAGCACTTGAGTATGTGTCCTTTTTCTCATCGCCTTTCCTTGACCTTCTCTTCACCTTTTTAAAATATGCGGGTACATGTTAAGTCGAACAACGAGCGCCTCATCTGATATTGTGTTGGACAGGTTAGAGAAAGTCATACGAGACCTTGTCGCGGCCAAGGACTATCAACGAGTACACGATATTCTCGAGCAATTGTGCAATGACTATGCCTATGCAGTTCACCAGCCTCATGCTCGAAATGGGGGACTTATCGGCCTCGCTGCGGCGGCGATTGCTCTTGGCCCTGTAAGTACCAATGGCGTCGTGTGGTTGACACCTTAAAGCGTTGAGTCGTGCCGTAACCTTCTGTGCCATACTACCCCCTTTTTTCAAGGAAACAAATCTTGTTTGGAGTTCATCCTTCGTTGCTGTGTTACCTTCACTACAAGCAGATGTTTGTCCGCCGTCTTGGTGCCCATGCCTCTCCAACGATTCATGTCATCCAACCGCTGACTGGAACCCGTTAGGACCTCCCACGGTATCTTTCTAGGATAGTTCCGCCAGTGCTTGCCTGCTTCACTGACCAAGATGCCCGTGTAAGATACTACGCCTGTGAGGCAATGTATAACATTGCCAAAGTCGCAAAGGGTGAGATTTTGGTCTATTTTAATAGCATATTTGATCAACTCTGTCGGGTATGGTCTTCTCCTTTCAGCCCCTGGGTTCTACATGCTCAAAGTTGTGCTGGTTACTAAGATAAAAATAGCTTGGGGCCGACTCCGAACTATCGGTAAAGAATGGCGCTGAATTGCTGGACCGGCTTGTTAAAGATATTGTTTCCGAATCGGCTGCTTCATATGTATCGGTACTTGAGGCACCGCCAAGGTTCGACGGCGATGACAAGGCCGTCGTAGAGGACCAGCAAGTAACTCTACCTACTGCATTCTCGCTGTCAAGATTTATCCCGTTGCTGAAGGAGAGAATATGGGTCATAAACCCCTTCACTCGACAATTTCTCGTTGGCTGGATAACCCTGTTGGATTCTATTCCTGACCTTGAACTCGTCACGTATCTTCCTGACTTTCTTGGGGGTCTTCTCAAATTTCTTGGAGATCAGAATGCAGATGTGCAAACTGCAACGCAGTCTTGTCTTGACAAATTTATTAATGAGATCAAACGAATCTCGCGGGTGAAGAAAGGAATTGTTGAGAGCAAAAAGTCGAGAGAGGGGGGCAAGCGAAAACGTCAAGAGTCCATGGATACAGAAAGTCTTCGGCCAGACCTCGAAGAAGGGGACGAGATCGAATCCGATGCCTTTGACGACGATGAGGAAGATAGCGCTGAGGAAGATTGGATTCCAGGGCAAGATGTTGAAATCAACTACAAAAACATATTAGAGATCCTTACGGCTACTTTGGATTCTCCACTAGGTTTGCTATATTTCCGTCTTCAAAGTGCTAGTTGACAGTGGTCAGTTCTAACTACAAGTAGAAGAAGACTGTCTGTTGGAATCTCTTAGATGGATTGTGGAATTTCTCGACATATGCCCAGAGGAAGTGTTGCCCTTCACGCCGAAGATCCTCGCTCACATGCTTCCTGCTATGGCTAGCAGCAAAGAGACCATTCACCAAGCTGCTACCCGAGTAAATACCTGTCTCATGGATTATGTAGTCTCAATCTCTGACGACTCAGGACTAAGCTACCAAGGCATTTCAGCAGGCCAAAGTCAACAAGCATCGCTGACATTAGCTGTCGATCGACCTGATGATTCCCATAGCAATCGGATATCTTTATCGAGCATTCGTGAGCAGGGTACGCAGAGTCCTGGTCATGGTCTGGGCCGATCGGCTTCTGTATCCGGTGGATTGTCTGCCAACTCACCCCAGACTGACCTCGATTATGCTGCTGCTGTCAACTCCCTCACTCTTTTATTTCTAAATGACCATGAAGCAACAAGGGTTGCTGCATTGACATGGCTTATTATGCTTCACAGAAAGGCGCCTAGAAAAGTTCTAGCATTTAACGATGGGACATTTCCCGCGTTGCTCAAAACCCTTTCTGATCCATCCGACGCGGTTGTCACAAAAGACTTACAGCTGCTATCGCAAATATCCAGAAATAGCGAAGATGACTACTTTGCAAACTTCATGGTCAATTTACTGCAGCTATTTTCTACCGATCGCAAACTTCTAGAAACCAGGGGCAACTTAATTATCCGGCAACTATGCATCAGCCTCAGCCCTGAGCGAATATATCGCACCCTAGCTGATTGCATAGAGAAGGAAGAGGATGTTGAATTTGCTAGTATCATGGTGCAAAATCTCAACAACAATCTTATTACGGCTCCACAACTTGCAGAAGTACGGAAACGTTTACGAAATCTGGAAACCAAAGACGGACAAACATTGTTTGTAGCTTTATTTCGCTCCTGGTGTTACAATGCTGTTGCCACATTTTCTCTGTGCTTGCTTGCACAAGCTTACGAGCAGGCTTACAATTTGCTTCAAGTATTGTATGTAATCTGCTGTCACATTCCACTGTCGACCATTATAATGCTAACACGGAGGTAGTGGTGAATTAGACATGACGGTAAATCTTCTTATCCAGGTCGATAAGCTAGTGCAACTCATTGAATCTCCCGTCTTCACGTGTGAGCAACCATAGGAAACCCCATGCCCTGACCAGCCAATTAATTTGCTTACGCCAACGTCAGATTTGAGGCTGCAACTGCTGGAACCGGAGAAATATCCATACCTATACAAATGCATGTATGGGATCCTGATGTTGTTGCCACAATCATCAGCCTTTGCGGCCCTCAAAAATAGACTCAACAGCGTCAGCTCAATTGGGTACTTGACTGTGGCACCTCGGAGGTAAGGAGGCAATTCGGAGAATGACAATATCCTCTCGACACCCACCCCAGTTGCTTTATATGCGACTTGTGAAATACTGATTCCACTTCCAGTGCGGCAACGCCATCCGGCAGCTCCAACTACGACCGGCCAAATCGGCTGAAAGGTCGAGACGACGGCGGCATCAGGTGGGTCGAGCTTCTGGAAAAGTTTCGCAGCGTGCAGGACCGAGCAAGACGAGTGCAGCGGCACAATCTGGAAGGAGAAGACATCGCCATGACAAGCCTAGGCGAGCTTCGTATGGCAGATGGACCACTGGACTTGAAGAACAGCAATCGAGCACCCGCTCCGGTGATTTCCCCGGCGGCATCAAAAGAACTTGCTCCAACACCTCCAGTCAAGAAATCTGGCCTGGGTAGACAATTTGGAAGATTGGGCGGCGCAGTTTCGGGCAAGAGCAAGAGAAGTTAGTAGACTTTGTGAGAGTGTTTGCTCATTAGTTCTCTAAGAGGGCAATGGTAGATACTCAAATTGCACTAAAAGGATGCTTCATCATGGACGCCGCTTGACCGGGCTTGCTTGTTCCACTAAGCTTTCGAATGCTTGGTCTCTACGAGAGGTGAATCCTCTCAGCTTTTGCCGAAGTGTGTCAACTTCATCCCTAGCTTTGTTTGTATCGCTTGGCAGCCCTTGAAAGACCATCAACTGCGCATCTAGATCCTTCTTATGGGACAATACAGCCAAAAACTGCTCTTCTTCCTCGGTCACGAGCTGAATAGTTGGATCGGAGCCCTTTCCGCTCGGTATGCAGGTTGCTATGCGCTCTTGTGTATCTGATAAATGTGCAATAAAGGCCTTGGTTTTCCGCTGTAGGTCCAAGTTCTGCTTGGCTAGTTCTGGAGGCAAGTTGTAATTCTGGCTCTGCGCAGTAGCAAGCCAGTCTGTAGTCCTCTTCGCTTCACGGTAAAGAAAACTTCTCCAAAAATCTGCCCTCAAACTCGCCTGCGAGGTTTCAAACAAAGTCGTTTGTAGAGCAATCAGTTGATTGCTAAGATCCTCTAGCTTTGGAAGGCTGATTCCATGTTGTACGGCTGCGTCCCCCATAGCGTCGAGAGCAGCTTTGCCATCCTGGTCGAGGTGAGCGGAAATAGCCGATAAAATTTGTTCACGAATGCCTGAGGTCATTCTAGAACGGGGCGGGTCATCTGCCAAATCTTCGAAATATCCATCAATGTGACTGCCCTCTCCCTGGGCAATTTTTTCCGCGCCGGCTAGTAAATGACGACTGTCGTCAGCGCGCTCACTGATGCTGGCCACAGCGAGCAAGGCTTTGAGCGTTGAGGGATTGCGTTCAAATCTGGGCAGAGTGTAGCTATCAGGAAACTTGGAGGCAAGCCAGGAATCTACGTAAGACCAGTCCTTGGCAGTTGAGGCAGCGATACGAGCCATGGACGGAGAAAAGATGGCCGCAGAACCATCGTGCGCCGTGGGGGCTTTTGCTGACAGGACCATCGTTATTGATGTTGATATTGCTCTTATTCTTCCAGCCTACATAAGCAGGCAAGCGTGGTTGCGATAGGTGCTAGATAATGATCAAGCTATTTGATCTTCACGGCGTCAAAGTTTGGCCTTCCCCCCTGCCCCCCTTCCTTTCAGTGTCCAGTTTCTATGTCTGAGTTAGCAGCTGGGACTCGGACAAGAAAGTTAGCGGTTTCTAACCGTCGGTAAGTGATAAAAACTTGTGGCGACCAGACTCAGTTAACCCAAGCACGTAGAAGCTTGCCGTTTGATGCTGGAGTCCAGCTGATGCGAAATGTGGGAGGTCCAAAGCTCGAGGGCACTATGAAGTATTTTGGTCCGGGTTGCCTGTCTTCTTAACTTGGGTGGTGGCTGTCACATCGACGTTGTCCGTGTCTTTCATCTAAAGTCTCGTCGCCAACTTTAAGCAACGTGGTTTCCATGGAGTACTGAGAAGTACTCGGTGGTTCGCCTGTGTGTCGGCACCTGGTACACACACCTTGGCGCCTGGACTTGTGGGTCACAACATTGAGTGCAGGCGGTTGCGGCTCCCGCCCCAAACACTCGAACTGCCTTGTCTTGGTGCAAGTGCCACGTTTGAAGACGTCGTTGGCCGGTGTCTAGTGGCCACCTGGCACTTACGACTTCTCATACCTTTCAATATCCCTTGAATGTTCTCTCCTACTCTGGACAAGCTTACGAAGCGTTGCCAATCATAAAATACCGATACTCACAGCGGCTATCCTTTACAAATCCAGTCTTATTGTTTTTGCAATATCAGGCCTTCTTGCCTCGCCGCCAGCCACGGCCGGCCGGTCGCTCGCCTCCTCGAGATTAACATTGATATGGGTTTGACCATCTTCTCTAGCCCCAGCCTCTAGAAAGAGTAGATACAAACCATCATACAAGCACATACGAAAGGGCCTGCCCTCGTTGCTGGTATTAGAACCTAGCCGTCCGTCTTCGGTTCGATCTTGTCCAAATAACCCTCCCGCATCTCGTCTCTGCGCCTCAACAATGCGATTGGACTTCTCCAACCTTGCTGTCACAGCAAGCTTGCTTGCATCTGCCACAAACTTGGTCGCCCAGGACATACCCGTCGACCTGCCCGTGTCGACACTATTAACATCAGCGCAATCGCATCTCGCCAGGGGTGAAACCAGCGAGGCTCTTGCCTACTACGATGCTGCCATCGCCAAAGACCCATCGAATTACATCACTCTATTCAAGCGTGCCACCACCTATCTCTCACTTGGCCGCTCTAACCAAGCCAGTGAGGACTTTGGCAGGGTCTTGGAGCTCAAGCCAGGATTCGAAGGCGCGCATATCCAACTAGCCAAAATAAAGGCCAAGGTTGCCGACTGGGAAGGCGCCCGATCAGAATACATGGCAGCAAAGAGAAATGATGAATCAACGGAGCTTGTCGAATTGGCAGAGGCCCAGGGGGCCGCAGACCTGGCAGAGGCGGCGGAGCGGGATAAGAATTGGGAAGAATGTATCAGTCATGCCGGCGTAGCTATCCTCGTTGCCTCCAGAGCCCCATCTCTACGTGAGCGGCGTTCACGATGCAGGTTTCAGCGTGGGGAAATTGAAGAAGGCATGGGTGATCTGCATCACGTCCTCCAGCTCCGGCCAGGCAACACTGATCCGCACATTCTCATATCTGCAACAACTGTCTATGCACTCGCGGATTTTGACAACGCCATTGCACAAGCCAAGAAATGCCTGCACTCTGATCCTGACTCCAAAATTTGCCAAACGTTACATAGGCAAGAGAGACGTCTTCAAAAAGCATTTCAAAAGGTCGAGAGCCAGCTCAATCGAGGCCAGAATACTTTAGCCGGGCGGTCTTTAGTAGGGTCTGCAGACGAACCAGGCCTGCTTCCAAGCATCCGTGAGCAAATAGACAATCTCCGACGAGATGGTTGGATTCCAATGCAAGCCAGGACAAAATTATATGACAGGGTGGTCGAAATGCTTTGTCAGGCATATTCGGAGGTAAGCCTGGTGTTTTTTTTTTTTTTTTTTTTTTTTGATGACTCGATGATTTCCAAATTTTTTGTCTTCCCCTGTCCTCTCGGTATCCCCCATACAGTTATCTTTCAGCATCTTGAAACTTCGTTTTTAGTCGGCCACGGCGTGAACTGACCTTTTTTTTCACCAGTCAAACCATAAGGATGCCTCTAAATATTGCGAGGAAGCAATCGAGCTGGACCCCGAGTCATTCTGGGGCCTCATATACAAGGGCAAGTCGCTCCTCAAGCGGGAAGAATACGATGCAGCTATTCAGACACTCGAGAAAGCTGCCGAGATACGACCGGACAAGAGTGATAAGGTGCATCCCATCTTGCAAAAGGCGCAAATTGCTCTAAAGCGAAGCAAGACGAAGGATTATTACAAGATACTAGGTGTGGCAAATGACGCTGATGAAAGACAAATTAAAGCAGCATATCGTAAAGCATCTAAGCAGTATCACCCAGACAAAGCTGAAAAGCAAGGTATCACTAAGGAGGAAGCACAGAAGAAAATGGGTTCTATTAACGAGGCATACGAGGTCCTCATCAACCCCGAATTACGTGCCCGATTTGATCAAGGGGATGATCCCAACTCACAGGAGAGAGGTAGTCCGTTCCAAGGAAGTCCATTTGGTGGGGGGCACCCCTTCATGTTTCATCAACAAGATGGGGGCGGTGCAAACTTCAAATTCCACTTTCCTGGGGGAGGTGGTGGTCCATTTGGGTTTTAATAAATCACGGCACATACTCAGAAATCATGTAGTATCTAAATTGTTGATATATGAAACAGGCCGTTTATCTGTAATACACACCCTATCTGCTTCTGTCGGGTAGCATTTTGGGCAGCTGTTGAACCCCTTCCAACCTATTTCGCAAGTCGTCGTTGAATTACTAGCATCCATAATAAATGTCATTTACTACAGGGCATTCGTGGTATTATTCTGTGTACCACAAATGTCAGACTGATTGACATTGAAAAAAAGCAGGCCATGTGACATTGCCAAAGTCCTAAACATGCGAGATAAACAGGACCCAGGTAAAAGCCACCATCACAACAATAAGGACATTATGGTATGATCAATCAGGTAATAAATAACATTACAAATCCTTTAGGATTCGCGTCAAATGTCTGTGGACATTCATAGTAGTTCCTATGATCCGACATGCCTATCTAGATATCCAGTTTTATCATCAATGCTTGGTCAAGCCATCAGTTCTAGTTAGTATGAAACTGCCCATTCCCAGAGAATCCTAAGAGCTAAATCCATCGCATTTTGTATACACAATTTCCAGTAGCTACAGTATGGAGCATTGGATGCAGAGCGTCTGTTGTCTGAAGCAAAGAATCTCTGTAGACGTCAGAGTTCAAGGTCCCAAGCCAACGAAAAGCGGGAAGAAAAAGGCTGAAGTAAAACAAAGGACAGCAGGCCTCTACCTCCGATGCGCCAAAAGAGCCCATGACGAAAAATGCGCACTTTATTGCTTCGATCGACAGGTGGCCATCACGGCGTTATAAGACTCCAGTCGACGATACTTCTACCCTTGCGCCCCTTACGATGAATCGTTGCGCTTGATGAAATAGGCCCTGCAATACTAGTTAGCAATTTCAATAGTTCGAGGTAGCCGACCTGTTATCTGTAGAAATCTTACTTGGAGAATTCGTATGCCGACCAGCAAATAGCGGTGCTAGGCATAGTGGTGACTACTCTAGGACGCACACCCTTGAAGAAGCCACGAAATCCTTCTCTTTGGTAAAGGAGCTGACATCCGCCTAGAAATCCGTTCACATTTCGAACTTGAGGGTCCGATGATGTACCTCGAGTTTGCAAGATTGTCTTAATCACATCCATTGGTGTGGTCAAGCCAGCCGCAAAGCCTCCAGCAACCGCTCCAGCCAGGCAATGCGTAAAAGGGTCGTAATTTTTTTCGGGATTCATGGCCGTCGAGATCGATTCGTAAGCCAGAAACTGCAATGCAGTAAACGGGACTGTCATGGACAATGTCGTAGGATATGAAATGTAAAACGCTCCAATGCCTTCGTTTCGGTACACATACTTGGCGCAATCGATCATGGACCGGTACATTTTGCTGGAGTTTTGGATTTGCATTCGTTGTTTAATGACTGTGGCTGAATTAGAGATTGTTTTCCAACAACGAGAAATAAATCATCAGCAAGCTAACGCCGACCGTACCATCAAATGGGTTCATAAAGGCATCGCTAGCAATAGTGGCGGCAGCTCCGCTGGTAGCTGTTTCATACATTGGTCAGCTATGCGGGTATTTCTCACGATTTCAAGCCAGGGCATGCAGTCTGATACAAAAGGTTCACAGTCCGTATCGTAGAATATGACTTACCAGCGGCGAGGGGGTGGTGCACACCGGCCTGGTTCCCGCCCATGGCATGTTTGACAGCCTCGTACGTAGCAAAGTACACAGCATGTGCAGGGCCTACATGCATCTGTTTAGCAAATTGCAAAAAGTGATGTGTTTGGAAGCATGGCTATCTTACCAGCTCCAACAATGACACTAGACATCCCACGCCACAAGCTGAAGAATCCCTCCCCCGATGCTATCTGATAGGTGTTGCGGAGAACACCAGAATAAGCTGTCGTAGTGCTAGGACTGAGGACTTGCATTCGCGTCTAATTTGGACTTTGTTAGTATATGTAAGTAGCTCCGATAGGCGGTCGTCGCGCCGGGAATGGCGGCACGTCGGCTCTGGACAAGTAGGGTTGGAGGCAGGTTGGCTGGTCCTACCTTGATTGCATCAATGGGATACATGACAGTATGCTCCTAAATATCAATTCTCAGCATCGTTCAACTGGTCAAGAGTATGCAGTGTTCGGCAGAGCCTGTTCGGTTGTTATAGCAGGCAAATGGGGATCGGACGTACGGCGATGCCGGCAAACGCGCCTGCTGCCATATTCTGCAACAGGGAGAAGTTAGGCGGAAGGGATTCATAGCTTGTCAAGTGAATAATATAATCAGTACATCAACGCGGCTTTTGAGGGTTCAGAAGGAGGGGGGAGGGTTTCAAGTACTCGTAATCATCGCCTGGCTCGGCACTTGGCTGGGCCATTTCGGCCACAGCTTCAGAAGCTCTGCCGAAGGCTTTAGAGTCCAGGGCAGCCAGATTGGCAGCGGGAGTGCCGAGGCAGTCGGCTGATGTCAAGACAGAAAACAGTCGATGGAAAGTTGAGAGGTTCGGGATGCGCAGAGACGAATGCTGAGTAGGAGCCGCACTGATGTGTGATCGCGATGTGGTGGTGCAACGTCCGGAGTTGGGATGAAGTGTCAACGGCTGAAGCACAATGGCCGGGCTAGTCTCGAGGGAATTGAATGCAATAGTAATGTTTGAAATATAATAGTCCGGAAAATGAGTCAAGCAGGCGACTGTCAATGGGCAGTCGATGGATGGGGTGAGGATGAACTTGGCCAAAGAGTCGGACAACAATCGAGACGAAACGGTGTCTAGCAGGTCTGGGCGAGGCTAACTGGTAAAAATTTCCGCGATGGTTGCTCCGTTCACGGCCTCGGAGTCCGGCGCAAACCCAAGTGGCCATCGTTCAGAACCACCCATTGCTCAGTACTTCGTACGGAGTACGGAGTACAAAGCACTCTCAGGACCCAGCCACTGAAAGGGGACCACTAGCCGTGCTAGAGCGTCGACTGGTCCATGCATGCACCTCACCAGACCAGTACCATTTCCAGGGTCCAGGCCGTCGTCCGCTGACATCCGCTCGGCATATTTATTACCAAAACGGCTGCCAGACAGGTCCTCCTTCGCATTGAAATGTTGATTGAATATAGTAACGCATTAGAAGTGCGTCAGCACTGGAGCACTCCGCTAGCTGATATGCTACATATGATTGCTAGCCTAGATCCTGGCCCTCACTGGTTTGGAACTAGCTAGCACCAAAGACTTCGTTCGAACTGGCAGCATGTCGCCGGGGTTCTTGGCCTCGGCTTTAGTCTAGACACACTCCGAGCCCCCTGACAAGTAGGAGCTCGCTACCTGTGGGAGGCCATAGTCTGCAATCGTCACCACATTAATTTTGTACATATACGGAGCAGAATTGAGAAATTAGCCATCCACGATATATTATTCAGTTTCGCCATGAAATGCTATCATGTCGAAAAAATAACTGCTGGGAAGTTAAGGTCTTAATAATGTACGCTTGTAGCATGGCGAAGTCTGGTCTCTGCCTTTGTTGTATCGAATTCTTGATCCCGTCTTCAGGACCTGAACTATGGAGATAGGCATCCATTGAATCATATCCCGGCGCACTGTCTCGTCTTTGCTTCGGTAAAAGACTAGCAGTTGACTACTAATTGGCAGCAGTAGATGGTAATAGAGACCCGGGGTTTAGCAACTTGCCTCTTGGCGCACTCGGCTCGGCTGCGTTGTACTCACATCCGAGCCAGCCTTGTATCATTCAGCCGTCCGTCATCTAATCTCACCTATACGTCAGTGGTAGTATTACCCCGTCATGGCCATCATTTGTCATGTCTCTTCCACTTGATATTAAGTGTGCACAGGAAAAGGTCTTTTGGTTGACCACCTGTCTACCTAGGTAGGTTTACATAGTCAAGGGCAAAGCTAGTCATCAACCCTCTTACCATACTTTCATACCTTTCGCGAGCAAGACTCGTCGCTGCTCACGTGTGAAATCAGCCCTCCGGCCATATTGCCCATGTAACAAAAAGACACATCTTAAACCACGCCACCTCGTCGACGATGTTGTGCCTGGCGCAGTTGATATATGAGCCCAAGCACACCACCTTCTCCTAGCTCTCCGTGTTGTGTTGAGCTATTTTCTCGGCTAAGGCCCTTATCTGGAGATGTTTCCCAGGTTGATTCTCCTAGGATACCGCCTTCATCGTAAACATCATCCTCGTCATCTACACTTTGTCTGTCCGCTCCGTAGCCTGCACCTTCTTCTACAATCTGATTTTCTCCATGATAAGCACCTCTAGCCTGGCGAGTCCGGTGCCAACTTCTCGCTCCCAACGATGGCGCCGTTGGCTGATTATGCGGGTCCAACAACACAGATGCCATGGGAGATAGTTGCGGAACGGTGGGCACCATTGCTCTTTTGTGTGGCATCGTGCTGGTCCCACGAGCCCGATTCCGCGCCAAGTCTGTCCGCGAAATGTGTGATTTATGCATATCTGCCGCGAGAGACGGAGAGTTAAGACTAGGGAAGGCTGGCGGCGGGTAAAATTGCCCCCGAGGCCCAGGTGGCATATGACCAGGGATGCCCGTCTTGGGATTAATAACATAGTTGTCCAGGAACCCGTAGTATGACGCTGCCATCTTCCCGTGTTTAGTAGAATAATAGTCATCTCGAAGATCAGGGCCGGCTGCCTGTGTCTGAGTTTGTCTTATTCCTTTCTTGAAATCGAAGACAGCAAAAGAGCACACATAGCCCAAGCCATCTACATGAATCGTGAACTCACGAAAGAAGTCAACCACCTGTTCCGCGCACTTCGGTAGAGAGAAGAACAGGAGCATTGGGGTTGTGATGATGCCCAAAACCTCTTCCAAGAATATAACGACTTTCATCTTGTATAACTCCGAGAATTCCTGCTTGACCTCGAAGCTATGCAGACGTCCTTGCCAGTGGTCTGGCATATAATGCGTATATTCGATAACATTTCGTAGTGCATACTCGGGATTAAATACAGTGGTCTCTTCCGATATCATGCCTCGGGTCATAGCCCATATGGCCCCAAAAACGCCAAGATAGAATAGGACTGGCCTATCCTGTGTTATTTCAAATCCGAGAAAAAGCTCGGAGTCGAGGAGAGTGCCAACGGCTAGCACAGCTGTTATAGCCCCGGACATAAATGAGATGCTTCGAGCAATTTCTTCTGTCATTCGCTTGGGGAACTGTTCAATGTACCGGGTTGCAAATGGAAAAGACATATAGAGCCTTTCATAGAAGATATGAGGTAGCTCATTGAACTCCCTAAACTTCCACTCCGCAAGAGCCGTGTACTTCCGGGCGGCTGCTAGTTTCGGGTCTTTCTGATATTCCTGCAGCCGTGATCAATTAGCTTTTGCACAACGAAATAAAGGCTGAGCTGTGAGCTGTGTGACTCAGCAGCGAGATCTTACATTATAATAGGTGAAAAAGTACACAATTACAACATATGCGAGTACTACTGGAGCAAAAATGAGGTTGAGAAACCCAGCAAAGTACAGGCGCTGTCGAAGCTTTTGACTAAGCAAGGAACGTCTGTCGGCGCGCAAAAATTCCTGCCTCACTTGGCCAAACTCGTTGAAAGCCATGTCGAGTATACAATAATGCAGGTACCATTCCATAGTTTTTGAAAAAAGCTGTCTGTCGCCTAGGAGGGGTACTGGGAGTGAGAGGTTGAGAACATCCTTGTTGATCATTGCGATAAGAAAATTCTCCTTTCTCATTAAGCGATTTGCTATGTCATGAGCGTCGAGTCTTTCCTTCGACTGACTCCCGATATAGCGGCGAAGATTACGCGGCATATTAGTGGCAGTCTTCGGGTTATCATCACGCAGGGACATGATTCGGGCAACGATATCTTGCCACGATACTGTTTGCATATCCTGTTCCGGAATTTCGAGCAGATAGACGAAGAAGTCTCGGACATATATCAGGCGACGGATCTCGAAGAAGTATTGGACTGATTTCCATATAAAGAAAAAGGAGTACATCCAGATGCCAAGGCTCCAGGAAGTCGACATATTTCGTGTGCACTGATCGACGACGACCTCACTCAACGACTTACTATGAGGCACTTTGCCATAGTCAACACATTGGGTGAGAAACGTCAGTAGAACGGCGACAAAAAGCGTCTCCCTACACCTTGTTAGTAAATGTCATGCATTTTTTCACCACTTACACTCACAGAAGCCACAGTGCATTCGAACACAGTATGCATAGTAGACCGCCACCCTCATAGTAATCATATACATCCCGCATAAAGCTATCAAGGTTTGAGATATTGACCCATCTCCAAAGGGCTTTCTCCCTCCTCCCACCAGGAGCTAAGCCATTCATCAAAGACCTAGGCTGCTGTATACTGATATCGCTCTGCTGGCTATTAGGATGCATGTGCTGATGTACGGTTGTTGCCTGCCATTGTGCTTTTGGTTGTCTATCGAATTTTCCGGCGTGCAGGGGCGTCGTATCGTGATGTGTATGCATGGACTGCAAGGTTCTTTTGGGCTCCTGTTCGTTGGACTCAACTAAAAGCGATGCCGGCACGTCATTCTCGACGTCCTCATCATGGTACGGCCATCGAGAAGTTGATGCAAACTTAGAAAATTGAGTTGATCCACCTCCAGCGATATTGTTCGACGTATCCAGCGCAGCATGCCTTCTTGCAGTAGCTGAAGTCTCGGCATCAATGTAGTTGAAGTTGTGATCTAGATTTTCCTCGACCAGCCTATGGCTCTCCCTGAGGTTCGCAACTTCCTCGCTGTGCGAGCTTGCACCTGCTTCACTTTGAATCGGACGGTCACGTCGAGACGGCGTCTCGTCCCGGTGAAATATATTGGATGCCATTATCGTGGCAAGGTCCTTTCGCAGAAAACGCAGAGCTTGCCAGGCTCCTGCACACTTGTTTGGTGGCACAGTTGTTCAGTCGCACCCGATCGACGTCATCTCCTGGCGATCTCCTGGCGTTTGGTCCCAAGCTTCACTGGGTAGGCTCCTGTTAGCAATCCCCTCAACACAAAAAGATTTCGAGGACTGTTAGCTAGATTGAAACATTTCTACGTACCGGGTACGCATCCATCTATATGAACAAATGGCCGTAGGATGGACAGCCCGAGGTGACACGATTATTTCCTACTCCATACTAAGTAGATGTCAGGTGGTGGTTCCAGCAGTACTTTGTTGGCGGCTGCTCCACTCAAGTGCTAGTGTACCATCACATTCACTCGAGTATTGTAGGCTGCACGGGGTCCTCTCTGGCCCACCTCTGGGGAATGACCGGATTTGACTGGGGCTGAAGCTATACTAGTACTCTCCAAATGCCTTCTGATTACTCCGTATTAGTTGAATGGTACAGATACGCCAAGGCATCTGACTGAGTGCCTAGGTACGACTAGTACCTCCCGGTCACTTGGTAAGGTGCTCAAATCACCTAGAGAAGGAAACCTAAGAAATGGAATATCAACATTACATCATGAGGTCTTCGCGCTCCAGGAAGACACTGTCTACATGCGGCCTCAGTTACGTTGTCCTACGTGCGTAATGCTGGCGCTAGCAAGGAGTGATTTTTACGTTGCTACACTTTGCAATCACAGGAATCACAGACTAGGGTCTGTGTCCCTGCGACTTTTAAAAATGGCTCATAGTCATTACACCTGTTGGCGTTGTCGAGGCACCTGACGCAAACTCTCAACATGTGACTGAGTCTCGTGTCAACGTACTATTACGGTTCCTTCGCGCGCCAAAAGTTTTGCAGTGACAGTTATCATGCACAATAGCTACCACAAAGCAGCGTATTTGATTTTTATTTAAACTATAAGACTTTCAAAACTGTCTGTGATAATGTAGGATTTGTCCTGTATATTGTGACCAGAACTAGAGTTTGCGTGCGAAGGTAGGTACAGGTACAGGGTAATTCTGAAGTAGCATCGGTAAAGCGCCGGAGATTGAATCCCCAGGTATCTGTCACTACCCCCGCTTCACCGCCTTCCCATCCAGTACAGACGTATCGGAACATGACGCATCATGGGTTTGAAAGGCCAGGTGGACGCCTACTCAAGGTTCCTAGGGACCTACTAACTACTCGGTAGGTAGAGGTGGTACAACTTCTTGGCCTTTCTCACACATCACATTTGAGACATACTGCATGAGCACCGCATTATATTACTTGAAAGAAGAGTGTGCGTTGCTCTTCTGCCTTTCATCACCGAGTCTTATCTTTCTGTGCTCTTCCACGGCAAAATGTGTTGACCAGGGATGATTGACTAATCTAACATTCTTTGGCACGAGACCCTTTTCAACCACCCCTTTTCAACCACGTTTGGCATCCCAAAAGACAGTCTAGGGGAGGATTTCTCGCCAAATAATGGCTAGGCTGCAGGCACCTCTGGGTGCCCATTCTGGGGCTAGCACAACAATGTCCGAGCAGATGGATGTCGGAAATAACACTCCGGCCGCCTCGGCAAAGGGCTCTAACTCACTCGCGACGAAAGTTACAGCTGTTCTTTCTACATCATTTTCTGATACGGAGTTCCGTGAAGCCCTCGCCCTGATTGACCAGCAAGAATTTGCAAACGATGCGAAAAATCGGAGACAGATCAGGATCAACCTTCACAAAGACGTTATAGACAGCAATGGGACCATAATTGACAACTTTGGCCGGGTTTCAGAGGTAAGTTTCCCCCCAATCATTACACGATTCATACATTGACCGATTGCAATGAATAAAGCAACTGCATCGCGTTAGACTCATACTCGAAAAACTGAAAACAGAGTATGAGAGCATCAAGACTCAGGTAGCCCTAGCTCAATCAGAAACGTCACCTACTCTCCGCGAAGCCGCATCTCTATTAGAAAAACGTGAAGAAGTTTTTGTAAAGCAGCGCGTCTTATCAGCGTTTAAGGAGTATTTTCTTTTGACTGAACCAGAGCTCGTGGCATTGACATCAACCGCCGAGCCCGTCGACGAGCGGTTTTTCGACGCTCTGTCCAAGGCAAGAAAGATCAGTAAGGACTGTGAGATCCTACTTGGGCTTCAGGAGCAGACATTTGGTTTAGATTTAATGGAACAAACATCTAAACATCTCAATTTCGGGTTTCAGAAATTATACAAATGGACTCAAAGAGAGTTCAAGACACTGAACCTTGAGAATCCACATATGAACACATCTATTCGACAAGCTCTCAGAGTCTTGGCAGAGCGGCCATCTCTTTTTCAAAACTGTCTCAGTTTCTTCGCAGAAGCCAGAGAGCGCATTCTTTCAGAAGCGTTCCATACCGCTCTGACTGGCACAACTTCGTCCGGCATTGATGATGCTTCCGTTAAACCGATTGATGTTGCAGCACATGACATGTTGCGTTACGTGGGAGACATGTTAGCATGGGTGCACTCAGCTACCGTAAGCGAGCGTGAAGCTCTCGAGATCCTATTCATCTCTGAGGGTGAAGAGCTTGCCAAGGGTCTAAAAGAAGGGAGGGATGCCGAGGTTTGGCGCCTAGTTACAGACGACGAGGGAAAAGATAGCGAGTTCAATGCCCTTGCGGCCCTCAATGACCTAGTCGACAGAGACGTCGCTGGAGTCACGAGGTTGATTCGCCAGCGCGTGGAACAAGTAGTTCAGGCGAACGAGGAGATTTTACCGGCATACAAACTTGCAACCCTCCTTAGCTTCTACGGCCTGACGTTTGAAAAGCTGCTCGGGCCAGCTTCGTTTCTCTCCGAGTGTATCCACAGCTTAGAGATGCAGGCGTTTCGGCAGTTCCGATCCTTGCTCAAAGATAATATCGCTATCATGCAGACGGACTCTGAAAATATCCCTGTGGATCTTGCGCCGCCTCTGTTCTTCAGTCGTGCGTTAGATCAGCTCGATGCCATTATGCATACTTACGACTCATCACTATCGTCGACCGACTTTCGCGGAAACGAGGTTGAAAGTGTGCTTGCGGACGCACTCGAGCCATTCATGTCTGCGTGTGATATCATGGCAAAGTCGATGATATCGCTGAAGGCGGCAATCTTTGCTGTCAATTTCAACCTTGCTGCCTACAAATGTCTTGCCAAGTTCGAATTCACAAAGAAACGAGCAGAAAGAATTCGCATCGATATCCGAGAAGCATCAACAGGGATTGTACAAAGTCAATACAAGTTCTTCCGTGTTCAATCTGGTTTAGAATCTTTGTTCAACAACATTAATGATTCTCAGGATGCGGGCGGCTGTTGTCTAGACGGCGACACACTGACCAAAGCCAGTCAGCAACTGGATGAGTTTCTACCGTCCGCCCTAATGGATGCAATCGATAGGGTCAAGTGTGTGCAAGACACAGTACTGGCCCGCCAAATGACTGAAGAAGCCGCAGATTTGTTCTGCAAGGATTTTGAGAAACTCGAGCAGGAGATCGACAATCGGGATGCCAACAGAGCGGCCAATGACGCGGGCTTTTTGCGATTACAATTTCCTCGTACATCAGCAGAAATACGCGTTTTGCTATCCTGAAAATAATCGACTGTATCGTTCTGCGGGCGTACTTCTTTACTAATGGTAAATTTAAGGGGGACACAGGCCTCTATTGGAATATCATGACTCTTTAGTAGTGCGGTATTATTATCATTAAGCTTAGCCGCCTGATCAAACCATTACAACCCAAATTGTATAGATTTGCGCTTGCCTGTGGTACTTGCATTGTTTCGGACGTTCATAATGCATACAACCTCACACCATGGTAAAAATCAAATATCCCACTGCATTGGCATTTTTTTTTGGGTCTAATTACCCTTGCAAATCCGAGGCGTCCAACTTTGAAGAACTTATGTATGTACTTGTATTATGCCCAGATCTTGTAGTGCTCAAGATGGCCCGCATGGGAGAATGTGGATCCTGGATGCCCGTTTTCCAATACGGAGTAACTACTCCGTACTCCGTATCCGATCTTTTGAGATTGTCGAGGGGTACTGTAGTCCAACTCGATGTTCAACACCCTAAACTCTGCCTTACGTCACTGGAACCACAGCCCCGGTCTTGGATCGTTGCTGGCACGGAGGCTATGCTAGCGTCAACAACCAAAGGCTCTGCTAAACCACACCCGTTTCTTGTCCAGTGCTCAAAGCATAGCATTTCTTCACTTTCCCAATTAACATTCAACGACAGCGATACAGAAGTTCCCGAGACCACGGCGCTCGCATCAGAGGAACTAACGAGGAGGGCCGTTGAAATCCCAACCAATCTCTTCCTGTACAACAAACGTAGCCAAAGCCCTAGGTCGGCAGAGCCTTTACTCTCTAGGCTAGCATGCCATCAAATTCAGTGCCATGTTGAGAAATAAGGTCTTCACGGCGCTCCAGAAGACTTATGACGACAGCTATCTGAGTTGCTCGACAGCTGTCTACTATGAGAGCCAGGTGCGTCATCCGAATTTCCCATTTTTGCGCGTCCGTCACAAACGTCAGCCCGGGTCCGCATTCAATCAGCTAACAAAGAACTTTTCACCAGGGTGACGAGCTAGAGGCAATGCGCCATTGGAGGCATGCACTCGAGCAAATTTACGAACACCGAGCTACCAAGTCCGTTCCAGGCTACGGGCCTCAAACGGATACTGAAAAGGCATTGGTGGAAGCATTAAATCAGTTGGAGCTGCAATGCAAAGAAAGGATTGATCTCCTAGAAGCTCTACGTGTTTCTCGTCAAGAAGGCTCGCCTCTGCCACCAGCGACTGGTACTTCCAAGGCTTCGACACCGTATGAAGACAGAAATATGAACCGTCCAAAAGGCTCCATTGGACAAGGCACCATTCCTGCCGTAACATACTCGGAACTCTCTCGACCCACACTTCCTAGCCGACCGGCCTTACCTCCT